AATGAGCTATGGAGTCAGAAAGGCTTCCATGCAGATTTCAGAAGAAGGCCTGGGAGGCCATGCAGTGTGCCTGTGATAGGGCAGTGTGGGAAACTGTGAGTACGCACCAAAGGTGCAGCTTTGGTGGAGACATCAGAAGCCAGGAATGTGGGTCATCTGAGGAAAACTGCAAAGCGGGAGCAGAGCTGGCCCAAGTGAGAAACCATGGAACTGCAGCCACCAGAAGTGCCATGGAGATAGAGCCACCCAAGCCCTTTGCAGTTGTCTTAGCACAGATTTCCTGGGCTGCACATGGAACTGCAGGACTTTCTGTTTGCCCTGCTGTATTTTGGACTTGCTTTGACCCATTCCTTTGTATCCCCCTATTTGTAACTTTAGAAATGGAAATGTCTGTCTTATGTGATTGAATACTGGAAGTGTTTAACTTGTTTTCATTTGTACGGGGGTTCGCAGTTAAGTTTGCTTTAAATCTGGGAGGTGATTGGGGTTTGAACTTTTCAGAAATGGTGAAAGTGTTAGGGCTTTGGCAACTCTTGGAGATGGACTAAATGCTTTTTGCATAAAGGGATGTGTGCAAGTATTTGGAGGTGAGAGATGGAATGTTAAGGTTTATATCTAGATGTCCCTGCAAAGCCCCATGCAGTCATGGGGGCCAGCCTTTTCAGAGGTGGCCAAATCTAGAGGGTGTGATTTTGATTCCTAGTGCAATGCTGAGATAAGGGTGCTAGGGTTAAGGATGGGTGATTGCTGATCAGTTGCTGATTTGATTGGTGCAATATAAGGCATGGAAAGACACTTGCCCCTTTCTCTCTTGTTGCTTTTATTGTCTTCCACCACTGTTGCTCTCTGCAATGTGCCACCCTGCCTTGGAGCCAACCAATTGTGGGCTAAAACCTCTACAGACTAAATAAACCTTTTCTCCCTTTAACTTTGAGTGTTGGATACGTTGTCTCAGCAGTGAGAGAAAAGTAAGACAATACCACGATTAGCAGTGGAAAAGAATTGTACAGTAATAGCACAGAGTCAACTAAATAAATATGAGTAAAACCTAGTAGTAATAGTACTGAAGGTGCGAGTGTAGGAAAGAAAGAAAAATGAAAAAAGTAAAATTTGACAAATAAAAGGAAGCGGGGCTGGGATTTAGCTCAGTGGCATAAGCTCCTGCCTTGCAAGCAGTCAGTCAGTCGTGAGTTCGATCCCCAGTACCGATAAAAAGGAAAAAGACAAAAAAGAAAGAAAGAAAGAAGGAAAGAGAAAGAAAGAAAGAAAAATAAAAGGAAGGTGAAAAAGAGGAGAGATAGGTGAGACAAAGGATTCTATTAGGAGTAAAGGGAAATTAGTAGAATAAAAGTAGCAGAAAGGGCTGGGCATGGTGACGAACACCTGTAATCCCAACACTTGGGAGGCTGAGGCAGGAGGATCATCTCAAGATCAAAGCAGGCCTGACCTATAAAATGAGTTCAAAGCTAGCCTGAACTACATAGTGAGACCCTATATCAAAAAAGATAAAGGTAGCAGAATAAAGAAAAATCAGCAAAATCAGCAAAGGAGGAAAAAATCCCAGAACAGGACTAGGCATGGTAGCACACACCTATAATCCCAGCACTCAGGAGGTTGAGGCAGAAAGATCATCACAAATTTCAGGCCAATCTAGACTACATAGTGAGTTCAAGGCCAGCCTGGAGTACAAAGAGAAAGCCTTTCTCAAAAAGCAAAAGCCTTTCTCAAAAACCCAAAACCAATGGAGAAAAAAGAAACGAGTCCGAAAACAGTTCTGTTGGGTTTTTGAGTGCGTGGTTTCTTTCCAGGGTCTGCAGTATTGGAGACCATCAGAGACTGCATGGGCAGTGGGCAGGGAGGCACTACTAAGACTGAAGTTCTGCCCAGGTTTTTGCAAGTGTGTGCCCCTCCCCCCATCACCTGCGCATGGTTGACCACTGGTGTCCTCCCTAGCACTCTAGTCACTCTGGGCACTCCCAGCTTCCTTTCCCCTTGTGGAGCTTGTAAACCGTGGACCCAGGCACCTCTGAAAACCACATGCAACCATTTCAGCTTCTCAGCTCAGCTCAGCTCAGCACCCCCGGGCCCTTCCCACCCTGAGCTTCAGCCTCTCAGGGGTTGTGTCTGGCCGTGGCCTCTCACAGCTGTCTCATGGCCATTTCTGTCTCACTCACTGGTGGTTCTGTAGGGGTTCTGTGCCTCCTGCTACACATTAACTGCCCCCCCAAAAGGGCTTCTAGTTACACTCTCAGATAGGACAGACACCGCCCTGGGTTTCTTCTCCAGCTCCAGCCTGCCTTACTTAAGGAGCTGCTTTCCAAGTGAAACCCCACACTGTGTTTGCAGTCTGCAAGGACAGCTCTGGGCTTTTCCTGGGACTCAAGCTGCTGGCCCAGTCTATTATTTCTCCCTGGCACTACCGGCCCTCTCCAGGCCTGCCTTGTGTCAGCCAGGATGGATCCCCTCCCTGGAGGGGATCCCTCGTTTCCTCTGTGTTGTGCTGCATTTCTCCAGCTCCTTCCTGATTCTGGACAGAAGCAAGGACACCTCCAGTGGAGACAGGCGGAATGGGTTGCCCCCGCCCCTCTGCTGGCTGGCCTTTGTAGAGAAAGGAGCACACCCTTTATTAACCCCAACGATGGACTCGTGTGTGCACAGAATCAGTCCCTCTCCCTGTCCCTTTCTCTGTCTTTCTCTAGCACAGGATGTTTTAGCAGTACTGATCTCGAACCTTCTTGGCACACTGGTTGCCTGTGCTGTGACCATCTCCACACATGTGGGAGTCTGTTTCTTTTAAACTGTGAGCTGCCCTTTAGTAACGCCTGTCTTGTCAATTGCCACTGTAAAGCTATGGAATTGCAAATAAAACAAGTAAATTCTAGGGCCAGAGGTTTAGCTCAGCGGCACAAGTGCCAGCTTGGCAAGCGCGAGGTCATGAGTTTGATCCCCGGTACCAAAAAAAGAAAAAAAACTAGGTAAATTCTAAACCAGATGAATGCATGTAATTATGAGGGTTATTTAAATCCTTTAAACTCCTCTAATTTAAATGTTATATTTAAGTAAAATATATATCTGTGTATTTGTAAAATATATATATATATATATATATATATAATTATGTAAGTACTTTATAATCTTACATATGTTATTTGAGGATAAGATGGATTATGTATACTACACATAACTTTATAATTACATCATACTTTTTTTACTTTATATGTTAAAGTGAAATGGAATGACAATGGAAAAGATTAGGTTTTGTTTTGTTTTGTTTTTTTAGTACCAGAGATCAAACTCATGACCTTGTACTTGCCAGGTGGGCAAGTGCTTATGTCACCGAGCTAAGTCCCCAGCCCAGAAGATTAGATTTTCATAAAATACTGTTTTATTTTAAAAGTTCCTTGCTATACTGCATAAAGCATACATCTGTCTTATTTGAAAATTAAGGCACTAAAATACATAATTATAGTCCTAATTGATGATACCATTTTTATAGAGGCAAAAAATAAGCTGTTAAATGGGAGGAACTGATTGGTTTGTACAAATCTAAAACGTTTTACATACAAGGACTGAATTCAAATTGGCAAAATCAGGGCTAGGGAGCATGAGGTCCTGCCTGGTGAGCATGAGGTCACGAGTTCGATCCCTGGTACCAAAAAAATTGTGGCAAAATGAGATTGTGCTTAACAACAAAGACCATTCAGTTCTAGGCCACAGCATCTCTGTTGGTTGAATTTCTAAGATTTCTGGGTTATTAGCTAACCTTTTCAGACATAAGACAGTGATCCAGATTTCTAAGCATTTATTCTAGATACAAAACCCTTTAAAGCAGCAATATTTAATCTGTTAGTCATCTCTCGTAAGTTATAAAGCCTCTGTTTGTTTTGTGGTCAGGTGAATGCCCGCCATATATCAGTGTAAGAAGACGAAGGGCTGGGGAAGGAGGGAAGCAGATTGAGAAACCAAGCAGAGCTGGCGAGGCGGTACGTGCAAGGCAGGGCGAGGGCAACTCTGGCTCAGCGAGACCCCGTCTCAGGAATCAGAACAAACGTAAAAGCCTGGGGAGCTGGCTCAGTGCAAGGGGTTCAGTCCCTGGGTTCAATCCCAAGGGCTGCACATTAAAAAAGAAAAAAAAGGTGGAGGAAAGGAAGGACCATCGCGCTGTGATGCTGTGAGATGAACAGATCAATTGACTCATTTTCTTCCTGGCTCCTGGCCCTTTCCCAAGGCAGGCTTGGAAACCAGAGCTTTTCTCCCCCGGCCTTTTTGTTTCAGAGTGGCTGTGAAGGCGACCTCTGACCTGCCATCCCTGGCAGTCTGTGGTCTGTGCTGGCCGGAAAGAGGTTGTGCACCTGGCAGCTGCACTGGGCCCGCCCCGGGTCACAGGCTCTGTGCCCAGCCACGTTTCCAGGCATCTCTGCTCAATCACGGTTCTGCACAAACGGAGGGGCAAGGTTCTGGCAGGCAAACCCAGAGAGCAGTAGAAACTCTGTCACCTTCCCCTCAGCCTAGGCCCACACATCTTTTCATCTCTACACTTCGTAATGTCCTCATAATAAACTGGGAACATAGCATTTTCCTGCACTCTGAGAGTCACTCAGTGAACCCCAGTTACCCCCCAGGAGGCAGTGGTGGGAATTGGGTACACAGTCTGAGGCTTGTGACTGCCGTCTAAGCAGGAGTAGGGACAGTCTGGACTGAACCCTTGACCCGTGGGACATGACACTGTGTCCATTGAGTTCCAGGACACCCAGTGGTCTAACTACAGAGAAGGGCTCCCTTGCATCTGGGGCCAGAGGTGACACACAGGTCTGTGCCATGTGAATACAGTAGGAGAGACCATAGTGGGAAGCTAAAAGCAAGATGCAGAAGACAGATGACAGAAGAGTTCCTGACAGGGATAATAAAGAGCCTGGTCCTCTGTTCAGAGGGAATGGAAACAGTTACCCGGCACCCAGGAGCAGAAGTAAGGGGAGATACCACGTGGCCTGGGGCATCTGTGTCTGTGACTGACTGTATTGGGAGAAGAGCAGCCAGAGTACTTCCTCGGAGTTTCCGGAAGTCAGCCGGTTCCCTGGGGTACCAGTCCTGCAGGCAGCAGTCCCTGGGCTCAGACACCTTCTGTCCTGTCTTCAAGGCCGCACAGGGAACAGCAGAGTTGCTCCTGGGCAGCCTTCTGTCCAAGTGCAGTCACACACCTTTCCTGCCTGCAAGGCAAGCGGCAGAGGCTGGGCTGTGGGCCACAGAGCAGAGCACTGCCAGGGTTTGGCTGGCATTTAATGGCTTCTTTCACAAGGTACCTTGACAAGGCATGCACCCCCTTTAGCTGGGAAGAGCCTGGAGGGGAGTAGGGGATCACAGCAGGAGCTTCCTTACTTAACACCAAGGGTTCTCCTGCCTCTGTCCCTCCCTCCCTGCCTGCCTGCCTGCCTGCCTTCCTTCTCCCTCCTGTACTCACGCTCACATGCGCCCCCCCCATCTTTAGTTTTCTATGCTACCGTTGGAGCCTAGGGCCTTGTGCACCACAGTCAAGCCCTCTCCAACCCAGCTCTGCACCTGTGCTGTCATTTCACTATGTACTCTGGGCCCAGTGTTTCTGACCAGGCTGTCGGGCAGAGACGTCCTCGCCCCACACTGGCTGCCCAGGGGAAAGAATCATCCAGGCCAAAACGTCAGCAGTGAAAGGTTCAGAAACCAGGCTTGGAAGCATGGAAATTATTTTTAAGTGAAAGGTAGAAAGTAATTTAAGCAGTCACATGAGAGAAAGAATGCTTTATGGACCTACCAACATCTTCTGACCCTCTCGCGGTCAGAAAGGTGCCCACCTAAAGATGGTTCTCCATGTTTTAGGACAGAGTCCCCACGTCAAGTCAAATCTCCTCTCGGGCAGCCTGCAGAGCCTGTGGCGGGCGGTGACCGGCCCTCTCTTTGATTTCCAAGGAGACCCAGCTCAGCAAGGCGGAACCCTCATTTTGGGTCCAGGTGAGCCTCAGAGCCCAGGTTGAGCCAGGCTGTGTTACAGGGCAAGGGCCACATGTTCTCCCCGGAAAGCAGACACCTGTGAAAGCGGGCAGCTTGGCCCAGCAGTCATGGCGGCCTGCTGCTGTTGTGAGAGTCCAGGTAGCCCCATGGGAGAATGCATGTGGTCAGGGTCCCAACAGAGCCAGACGGCCTGCTTGGTGAGAGCAGCGGTGCTTTCATTAAGAATCACCAGAGGCTTTGTATTTTGCACAGCTTTGTGTACTGGTCATTTGGGGCCACCCAAGGTTTCTTTGGCTCCACACTCACAATGTCAAAAGCTGAATCTCCACCATGTTAAATTGTGGGCAGTATCAGAAAGCCTGAATCATTTGTCATAAGCTAATTTCTCTCCTCTTTTAAAATGGTCCACATTGGGAGCTGGGGATTTAGCTCAGTGGCATAAGCGCCTGCCTTGCAAGCAGGTAGTCATGAGTTCAATTCCTGGTACCGATAAAAACGAAAAAGCCAAAAAAAATAAAATAAAATAAAATAAAATGGTCCACATTATGGGCAGGCCTGGAGGCACACACCTGTAATCCCAGCACTCAGGAGGCTGAGGCAGGAGAATAACTGCAAGTTGCAGGCCAGCCTGGGCTACATCATGAGTTCAAGGCCAGTCTGACTACATAACAAGGCTCTTGTCTTGCTGGGGATTTAATTCAGCAGCATAAGAGCCTGCCTTGCAAGCATGAAGTTGTGAGTTTCATTCCCCAATACCAAAAAGAAAAAGAAAAAGACTTGTCTCAAAAACAAAACAAAAAAGCCCATGAAAATAACTAAAATTGCCCACATTAATAAGTATACCTTTTAGGAGTTATAAAACTACCATTTAATAATTGCTATTTATTTATTTTTGTCTTTTTGAGACAAGGTTTCTTTGTGCAGTTCAGGCTGGCCTTGAGCTCACTTTGTAGCCCAGGCTGGTCTTGAACTCGAAATGATTCTCCTGCCTCAGCCTCATGAGTGCTGGGATTACAGGAGTGTATCACCATGCCCAGTTTAATTCCACATTTTTAAAAGGAAGATTTTAATTTTGGCTGAGTACTATCTCACACTTTTTGGTTTTGTGCAGCTGGAACAATAAAGCTTCCTTTCCGTCTCCCTCATGAACTTAAAACCAGTTAATTTAAAAGAAGTCCTTTCGAGCCAGGGGTAGATAGTAGCAGACCATGTGCTTCCTGGGTTTAATCCCAAGCACCAAAAAATCCCAAGCACAAAAAAAAAAGTCCTGTTTTATGAGACTGAGCCTCTTAAATTTGCCCAGAATGTCACTGAGCCATTTGCCAGGGAGGGGGAGAGGGTTGGGAACAGAGGTTAGTTTTGTTTTTTGGGTTTTTGTTTTGTTTTGCGCTTTTTTATCCCCCTTTTTGGGGGCAAGGGGTCTCAGTCGAACTCACGACCTCATGCTTGCCAGGCAGGTGCTGTGCCGCTGAGCCAACTCCCGGCCTGGCGCCTCATGTGCTAGGTGAGAGCTCTGCCCCGAGCTGCCCCGAAGCCCCAGCGGTGCTTTCAGGGTTAATTTCCACTCTCAGACCTGGACAGGTTCCTTTTCCAGCCCCTCACAGTGTCTAAGTCACATGCCCGCACTTCCAGTGATGAGAGAATAAAAGGCACTTGGCGTGAGTCCCCTGTGTGTGACAGCAGGCACACGGGTGGGGACATGGTGCGTCTCCTGCACCGCACCGGGGAAGTATGTCTGCCCTGGCTCTGGGGAAGAGGGAGCACCATGTACTGCATGGGTCTCTGGTGCTCGTGGTCCTGTCCGTTACTCCTTAGCTAATAAGAAGCCGGTTTACAACATAAAGCTGAATCCTGGGGTCCGTCTCCAGAGTGATGCTGGAACTGGGCTACTTTCCTGTGTACATTAGAACAGCGCCAGTTCCAAGTACAAGAAAGTAAACGAAACCTAGACGAGGAAGTCTGATTTCTTTCAGCAGAGGACGGGATTGTGGACTTCTAAGCATGTGGTAACTGATTACCGTTACGCCTTAATTGGGAACTCTTCGGCGCTGTGCCTATAAAGCAGCCTGTTAACTCAGTATTTGGGAGTATATTCTGAAATGTTTCATTATATATATTTAATCCTGTTCTCTACCTGACAGAACATTTTATTTAACTATATTTAATAAAATCTAACAAAGTTATAATTTTTAAGACTCTTTCCTTTTGGTTCTCATTAAACATTAAGTATCATTTTTATTTAATCATAACCCTTGTCATGCTCTATTGCCATAATTAAAAATTATTGTAGCATTATAGAGAATATAATGTACCCCAGGTAGTTAATTTTCCCCTGTAGCTAATTAAAAGGTGAAAAGCATCCGATTGTAGTAAGCCATAAAACTCCTAAATAATACTTAAACCAACAGGCCTCAGCCCGTGGTTCTTATTCTCTTCTAGGGAACAGTATCCACTTTATACATCGCGACAGGAACAGGTTGGATCACAAACCCATAAACTCTGTGTTACAGCTCGTAGGCATTCCCCACGTGGACTTCACAAGCGGACCCTCAGTTATCCATGTGTAACCACCTGCTGGCCCTGCCCCTCCCAGCTGGCCACAGAGATGGGCTGAGTCCCAGTTGGGAGGTGCGCAGGGTGATGGGGCTCAGCCTGCCTTGAAGAGGGCTAAGGACACAAAGCATCCGTGCCCGTTGATTGCTAGCTGAGAGGCATCTTTACCCAAAATGAGAGACATATTTAAACTTCCACCACCTCTAAGATAACTACATACAAATATACAAATGAAAACATTAAAGGTCATTAAATTCTGAGTAGCATTAATAAAGGTGTTCTGGGGAATTCAGACATATAAACAGAAAGCAGGCACAGTGATTCTTCTGCCTGTGGTCCGGGCTGCTTGGGGGGCTGATACGGAAAAATCTCAAGGGAACCCAGGAGTCTGAGGCCAGCCTGTGCAACAGTGAGAGCCCATTTCAGAAACATTTTCAGTACATATTGACGGAATATACAGAGGGAAAGGAAAGAACTAAACACTGCTTAATTCAATAAAAAAAAAAAGTGTCTCAGGTGGCTGTGGGGGCACACACTTGCAACCCAGCACTCAGCAGGCTGATTGGAAGTTTCAACGCCAGCCTGCACTACCAAGTCAGATCTTGTTGCAAAACAGAAAACAATTACGTCAAATTGTAATCAGTGGGGGCTGGGGATTTAGCTCAGCAGCATAAGCACCTGCCTTGCAAGCAGGCGGTCATGAGTTCGATCCCTGGTACCGTTAAAAAGTTAAAAAAAAAAAAATTGTAGTCAGTGTAACCATCTTATACCATGTATATAAACACTAGAAAATAAACACTAGAATATTGCCAGTAAGGTGCATGTCTGTATGGGATGATTACAGGTGGTGTTGTTGGCCAGACTTCTCTGTATTTTTTATTCTCTAATGAGTGTAACTGATTATCTTTGGCCAGGAAAGATCTTTAAACATTCTAGGATGAGCATCTGCCTGCACAAAACCTCTGCAGAGATGCGCATTGTGTAGAACCACATGTTCCTATCCTAATACAGCCCAAAAACCAAAGAACCTGGTCACCGTGTGCCTGCTACCCATCCCCCTAGGTATTTTTGGTGGGGAGAAGGAGATTAAGAGAAATACTTGCTATATTCCCAGCTCCTGCTTCGGACTTTTAAAATATGTTCAGTGTAGTGTTGCATGCCTGTCATCCCAGCACCTAGAGAAGCTAAGGCAGGAGGAGTACAGTTTGAGCCCAGCCTGGGCAATTTAGCCACGTAATGAGACCCTGTCTCAAAATTTTACAGTGGTTAGAGATATGTAGCTCAGTGCAAAGGCCCGGGATTCAGTCACTAATACCACAAAAACAAGTATTTAAAGTCCAGCAAGGTCTGGAGCATCCCTTGCACTATATTTAAAACAGAAAAAATTACATGGCTGGGGATATAGCTCAGTTTAGCACAAGGCCTTAGGTTCAGTTCCTGGTACCAGAAAAGGGAGAACAAAAAATGATAAATTAGGGCTGGGGATTTAGCTCAGCGGCATAAGTGCCTGCCTTGCAAGCAGGCAGTCGTGAGTTCGATCCCTGGTACTGATAAAAATGAAAAAAAGACAAAAAAAAAAAATGATAAATTGTCATGCTTTTAGAAAGGAAATTTTGGCCAGGGATTTAGCTCAGGGGTGTAAGCACCTAATGGCTGGCACAAGGTTGTGAGT